CTCGGCGTACGGCAACAACGACTCCCACTTAGCACCCATGTCAACAACCAAAGCGCGTAGCATATCCTCAAGCGTCTGAATGGTCCGCTCGGACTGACCATCTGCCTCCGGATGGTAGGCTGAACTGAACTCGAGCTTCGTGCCCATCGCCTCGTGTAAACTGTGCCAGAGTCTACTGACGAATCTGGGATCTCTGTCTGATACGATAGTAACGGGCACTCCGTGGAGTCGAATGATCCCACGGGTATATATCTCAGCCAACTTATCCAAAGACATCTTCATCGAAATGGGTAAGAAATGAGCGACCTTAGTCAATCTGTCGACCACGACCCAAATAGCATTGTGATGTTCAGACTACCTCGGTAATTCCGTAACGAAATCCATCGTGACTTTCTCCCACTTCCACCTCGGAATCGGCAGTGGTTGCAGGAGGCCGATCGGACTTTGATGTTTGGCTTTGACTTGCTGACAAGTAAAGCATCTCCTGACGAACTCGGCAACGTCCTTCTTCATCCCTCACCACCAGAACCACCCTTTCAGGTCATGATTGTTTGTCCCATTTTTGTTGTATTTTTCGTTATTGTTTTATCAATCTTTTTCCCCCGTTTTAGGTCCTTTCGTGAGTTTTTAGTTTGTTTTGTGTTTTATTATGTGTTATGTTCCATTTTGGTTTTCTTCGTGTCTTTCGTGTGTTTTTCCGGTTTTTCTTCTTGTTTTTGGTGTGCAGGTCGAAAGTCTCGTGAGGAGTCGATTTAGCTCAACAATAGACCGGGCAATCATGGTTGTGTAGATGGACTTGTTGGCGACACATTGGAAAAGGCGGAATTGGATTTCAAGTTTGGATGAATCCGGACGGAGCCAAAACGCGAAGCCGCGCGAAGTCGCATGCGAACGTCTTTAGTGTGATGGTCAAAAGCTTCGGGAGAACCAGTTTTCGAGAATCTTGTGGGGAAACTAACACCATTGGATAGAGGAGTTCGTTAGCTACGCGTAGGAAAAAACGGAACTCAATTCCGACTTCAAACGAGCCCGAACGTGCCCGAAACGTAAAGCCGCGCACAGCAGAAATTCCTCCGCGGACAGACGCAAAAAGTCGCGGCCGCGGGATCAAGTCGCGGCCGCGGAGCTCGCGTTTTCAGCAATTATAATAACAGATTTTAAATTCGTTTGGGGGCATTCTCTCCTCTTCTGGGAGACGAACCCTAGGTCCCGAGAACACCACGAAATCTCTTTCTCCTCCCCCTCTTCTTCTTCTCCGATTTTTCTTGTTCTTTTTACCTTCATTTTCCATTAGTTTTCTTTTTCTTCGGATTAAGCTTGTACTACGAATTCAACGTTCGAACTTGGATTAACTGTAAGTATTTCTTTCTCTTATTTAACTCATGAATAATGGTTGATTTGAGAAGAATGATTATGTATTTTGAATTCGTTCTATGTAGCTGATCTTTTGTGCTAGGGATAAGGGATTTATTGTTCTTGTTCATTGTGTAATTGTCGGGCTTGATTTGTTCATTCTTATGTGCGTTGTTTTGATAAGGAATTGATGAATTTGTATTCGATAGATTGATATAATCGAAAAGTGACATTTCGATCTTGCTATTGGTGACAGTTGGATGTTAGTCTGTCGAGTTAGGGTTTGTCAATTCTATATGATTAGTTGATTAAACACCTTCTAATTGATTTAGCGGCTTTCAAAACCGAAAGGGGAGAAGTCGTAGAAATAGGCTCGCGTGAGGTAGATGATTTCGTAATTGAATAATCTATGTGTTTTAGATTGAAATACGAGCTTGTTGATGACTCGTCCTTTGTTACGAATAGTTATTGGGACTGGGATCATTGGCCTGTTTTTTATGCTTGAGCTTGTTCGTCTATGTCCAATCCCTTGTTACGAAGAGTTTTTGGGAGCGAACCGCTGGATGACTAAGCGAGAGTGTCAATCTAGAACCGAACAATGAATTGCCCGATTTGGCTAGAACTTGAATTAACTATCCCCGATTCCCTAGTTTCTCCATCTTCGTTCCATTCATATTCTTAGGTAGATTTACATTTTGCATTGTTATTCATTTCTTAGTTTATAATTATTCACTCCCTTATTTGATTAGTATGTTTAGGATTTATTTTGCTTTTATGTGTTGTCAATATCAGAACTAAATTCCGAACCGCCTTCCTCGTGAGATCGACCCGGGGAACGAATTTTTCGATTCGGTACTCGGTAAAAAGAATAATTTGTACACAACAATGATACATCTTCGTGCCTCGGGATGGGCTAGATATGGTGCGGTATGAGCCTCCGTCAATATCTCCTTCCGCAACGTCTCGACTTTCGGTACCACGATCCGGCCCCTAAACTCTCGGGCACCATCTGAATTTAGCTGAAAATCCTCGACACCTCCGGCGCGGACTTTGGCCTCCATGACACAAACGAACTCGTCAGAAGCCTGCTCCTGCTGGATTCTCTCTCTCAGCGTCGGCTGAATCTGCATGACACTGATACTGGCACTACCACTCGCTGAAATGGTTGAGGGAAGTGCATCGACCGCCTGAATTTGCATCCGGGCGAACTCCTGAATCAACGGACTCTGCTGAGTAATGACGTACGTCAAGTCACCCCTCACCTTTCGGCTTAGGGCGTCAGCAACGACGTTCGCCTTCCCCGGATGTTACTGAATCGAGCAATTATAATCTTTGACGAGCTCGAGCCAACGGCGCTGCCTCATGTTAAGCTCCTTCTGCGTGAAAATATACTGCAGGCTCTTATGATCTGTGAAAATCTCGCAGCGACCGCCATAAAGATAATGCCTCCAAATATTGAGAGCATGAACAACTGCGGCTAACTCCAAATCGTGCGTCGGATAGTTCTGTTTGTGGCTTAAGCTGACGTGAAGCATAGGAAACGACCTGGCCGTCCTGCATGAGTACACATCCCAGTCCCTGTTTCGAAGCATCACTTAAAATGGTGAAACTCCGAGAAGGATTGGGAATAGTTAACACCGGGGCTGATGTTAATCTCCTCTTGAGCTCCTGAAAGCTCGCCTCACATCGGTCAGTCCACTCGAACTTCACAGACTTCCTCGTCAGCTGGGATAGTGGGAGGGCGATCTTAGAAAAGCCCTCGATAAACCTGCGATAATAGCCAGCTAGACCGAGAAAACTGCGAACCTCGGACGGACTCTTTGGTGTCGACCAGTTCTGAACAACTGAGACCTTAGAAGGATCCACATCGATACCTTCTTGAGTAACAACATGACCCAGAAAAGCTACTCGCCGGAGCCAGAACTCGCATTTGGAGAATTTGGCATACAACTTTTCTCGTCTAAGGGTTTCGTGAACAACTCTCAGATGCTCCTCGTGCTCCTTCTGGCTCTTCGAGTAGATAAGAATATCGTCAATAAAGACAATAACAAACTGATCGAGGTAGGGATGAAAAATACGGTTCATCAGGTCCATGAAAACCGTTGGAGCATTACTGAGGCCGAATGGCATGACGACGAACTCGTAATGACCGTAACGAGTACTGAAAGCGGTCTTAGCAATATCTGACACCTTAATCTTTAGCTGGTGGTAGCCTAATCGTAAATCAATCTTTGAGAACACACAGGCTCCCCTCAACTGATCGAATAAGTCATCGATCCTGGGAATCGGATACTTGTTCTTGATCGTCAACCGGTTAAGATCCCAGTAGTCGATACACATGCGCATGGATCCGTCTTTCTTCTTGAGAAAGAGAACAGGTGCTCCCCAAGGTGACACACTCAGTCGGATGAAACCGAGTCGTAACAGCTCCTGAATCTGCGCCTTAAGCTCCTGCAACTCCTTCGGTGCCATACGGTATGGGGCTTTGGATACTGGGTCGGCTCCTGGAATGAAATCAATAAAGAACTCCACCTGCCGGTTAGGCGGTCCCCCTGGAAGCTCGTCTGGGAACATGTCCACAAACTCACGAACAACTGAAACATCGTGAGGTGATCGTGCTTTCTGAGAATCATCGACAAGGCTCTCCATATAACCCTGGCAGTTGCCTCGTCGCAGCAACTTGGTGGCTTTCGCCATTGAAACAACATGAGGTAATGAACGATTCTTGCTGTCAAAGAAGGTAATCGAATCGTCTCCGGGAAGGTAGAGAGTAATCTCCCGGTCATGACATCTGATATCTGCATGATAAAAAGATAGCCAATCCATCCCGAGAATGAGGTCGAAGTCCCTCATCTCAAGAACATACGCATCGGTAGACAATGAATGACCACTGATGGAAAGGCTGAGATCTGAAGCTTTAGCTGAGGTCACTTTCTTTCGTCCCGAGGCTAAACTCACCTCGAGAGGATCGACAGCGGTAATAGCATGAACTCCAATGGCATCAAGGCATCGTCGTGAAATAAATGAATGCGTCGCTCCAGTATCGAACAAATCAAACATAGGAACATTATTAAGCATGATCATCCCTGACATAGTACCTGGTTGCTGCTCGGCCTTAACCTGATCGACTGCGTAGACTCGGGCCTGCTCTCTGCCCCTCTGCTGCTACTGTGGTGGCCTATGATCCTGCTGATGGGGCTGCTGCTGCTGCTGTGGCTGCTGAGGCTGCTGGGGCTGATGTGCCTTCTTCGGACAACGGTTAGCAAAGTTTTCGGGATCGTGACAGTAATAGCATATATCCTGCAAAAGCGACACTCGCCTCGGTGAAGACGTCCGCAAGTCGGGCACGGTGGAACCTACTGCTGCCTCGAGCGAGTCCTCCTGTCGGTCTGTGCGCTCTTCTCCTTCCTCTTCTTCTCCTTCGTCGATTGGGCAGCTGGTAGGGCTGGTGGAGATGTGGATGACTGGGCGGGGGCGGATGGTAAAGAACGATCACGAATGGCCTCTCTCCTGATGCTGGCATCCACCTCCTGGGCAATAGAAACGGCACGAGCATATGTCTGGGTCCCGTGACCTACAATGTTGTGACGGACTGCTGGGTAAAGCCCGTCAATGAAGCGTTGTGCTCTCTGTGCCTCCGTACGAACCAAGTCAGGAACGAAAGCTGCAAGTCGGGTAAACTCTCTATCGTACTCATCAACAGAATGAGTACCCTGTTTGAGCGACAGGAACTGCCGTTCCATCTCTGTTCTGTAATAGGTGGGGTAGTACTTCTCGCGGATCAGCTCCTTGGGCCTATCCCATGTACAACCCTCCTTCTTGCTGGGACGCATACTCCAGTAGGCATTCCACCAGAGCCGAGCATCACCGGTTAGCTGAAGCTGAGCGTAGATAACGCGATATCTGTTTGGACAATCCATGACCTCGAAGATCAACTCAAGGCCCTGAATCCACCCGTCCACGATACGGGGATCTCCCTGCCCGGAGAATATCTCAGCATGATAGTCGCGGAACTGTGCGACTATAGTGGCCTGGGGAAGAACAGGGCGATCGGGTTCTCTACGGGGCGGCATCTGATCATTGAAAAAGTTCAACATTACTGAACACATGAAAAATATTATGACTGATTACTAAAGTACACAAATCTCTTGACGAGTTGCCAAATATGGCGAGAAAATACTGATGTTGATCCTGAAGGAGTTTAGAGTTATATCTGTGTACACTGAATTCTAAAGTCTGATCCTGATTCGAGCATCTTAACAAAGTCTTAATAATTTCTGAGCATAGGCAAAGTAATATGTTTATAACTGAAAACATAATTAGCACTTACATGTAGTCGGCGAGGCGTGAGCATGACAGTTCAGGTTTTTGTAAACTTTTCTGACTGATAAAACTTTTCAGAGACGCAGAAATGTGCTCGGATACCAATTGTAACACCCCGCTTATTTACTGAAATCAGAGTATGCTTGTTCACAAATTATCTAATTAAAATAAATAAAGTAGTTCTTTTTGCGAAAATTGATTCGGAGTGTTACCGTAAAATCTAACCTTTCTAAAAACCGTTAATTTTTAAACTGATAATAGAAACGGTTATAAATGTATTAACCGACTAACGTCGGGTCAAAAACTCATTTAAAGTACTGAAACTGTAGCGGAAATGTACCGTAGCCAAAACATAACATATATATCATAACAAATATCCTGAACAGCTCGTCAGCTCACTCCTCGCCCCAGACTTTGTGACATGAAAAACATGAAATACGTGGGGGCGTGAGCACTAAAACACTGTGCTCCGCAGAAACTCATACTAAAGTAAAACAGTGAAAATAATAACAATATCATGATCCTGGCATATATAACTGAATTGAAACTAAAACTGAAACTGATATCTGATACCGGTACTGATAATCTGATATTGATCTCGTGATATGAATCACCTGTCTGAAACTGAACATCAGTCGGCGTAGCCGGACACCATGTGCACACTCTAGTGGGTAGATTAAGGCCACTAGAACTCAGAATGGACCGGCGACCATTCCGAGCGGATACTGATAATACATACCTCAAACATGGTAGCCTAATTATAATCAATGTAGTACATAGTCTGAGTCCCCACGTGATCCGTGAAAATGAAGGTAGTGTTGATGCCTGATCAAACTAAAATATAATATAAACAATTACTAAGGACTATGCTCAGAATGATAAATTAACTGATTAATTATGTTAAGATGCTCTACTAGACTCATCATGATATTCGGACTTAATTGTATAACTGGAACCGGTTAAGTACGGAACTGAACTGATATTAATTTACTGAACTGAACATGACCCGGAATTTTAACTGAAAATGATACTGAAATCAAGAATCGGGGTTAAAACAATAAAATATAGGCTGAACCGGCCCAATCGGTCTGAACCAGGCTGAGCCGGTCTGGACCGGACTGCCGGTTTGCTGAATCGAGCGGTCGGGCACTGGCTCGGCCAGCAGGCCTGCCGACGCTGCGCG